TTTTTTTTTTTTGAAGTTCCAATTTTTCAGTATTTGGTTTAGGATTGGAATATGGAGAATCCTTTTCATTCTTGTGAAAGTACCTTTCCTCTTCCACCTTCGTCTTCCCACCTTTTGTCAAGCCAGGGCCACAGTTTAATGCAAGTGCTATCCACAACCACAAGTGGGTGTTTTACTGATTTCTGCTTTCTTTTTCATTTTTCCTTTTTTGTATTTCTGTTTATTTATATGTTTGATATCTAGGGTTTGTTTCTGTTTACTTTTATGTTTGATGTCTAGGGTTTGTTTTTGTTTATTTATATGTTTGATATCTAGGGTTTGTATCTGGAAATTTTGGTTTAAGGCTGGGTTTATTGGCGTTCATGCCTCTCTGGAAACCTTTTTTCTTTTTTGTTTTTTTCGTTTATTTTGTTCATAATTTTTCATTTTGTCTTTCATTGAATTTCATCTTTAGGGTCAGTTGTGCTAGTAGAGTTTCATGGGTTGCTCTATTTTTATTTTTATTTTTTTGGGTTGTTTCCTTCAAATTAGTGCTGGTTTCTTAATCCAGAGATAAAACCCAACATTTTCCCCTTTCATTTCAAGAATTTTAGGGCTTTTTTTATTTTTATTTCTTTCTGTAGAACTGTAGAAGGGAATAAAATAGCCTGGCTGAGCTAAATTTGTTTATGTATGTTACTTTTCTCTTCTGAAACCTTCTTATTATATTTTTGTACACGAGTTATTTATGGTGTCTAAGAAATTCTTAGTTGCATTTTCAGCTGTTTCATAAGGTTTTGCATTCTTAGATGTATTCCTTATATGCAGTTCTTTGAATTCTGTATGGGTTTAGCACCATATAATGTGCTTGATTGCAGGTCCAAACTGCCCCTTCTCCACATTATGGCTGTGTATGTAGCGAAACTGAAGTTCCCAGTTCAGGTTCTGGTGAGAATTTTTTTTTCCCTCTTTTGGATGCTTTCCACATTCATGACTATGAAGTTTCCCCTTGATTTTGGGTTTGGTTTGTCATCTAGGTCAACGTTGTCTTTTATTGCATGTGATATGGCTTCTGCACAAACATTTTTGGATGGATGTATGCCATGTTGTCATCTACTGATGAAATCATGAGCTCAGTTGATGCTTGGATTTTTCTTACAGTTCCTATGATACAAAAGGCAGGAATCCCAAACACTGTCTTCAGTCCTGAAATTGAAGGATTCCTCTTATAACTGTGTATATTAGTACTGCAGTGATAAGTACCTCTTTATTAGATGTGTGTTATGCTGAATTTCTTTGTCAATAAATAAATATAAAATTAAAATTTGAGGATCTACGATTGATGTTTCTGTTTTAATTTCAAAAGGGTCCTCTATTGTCATATTATGTTTAGCTTCTTTGTTATTCTTCTTTAATGTATTCTTGTAACTGTGTTCCAACTTTCTTTGTAGTGGTGCATACTTAGGGATTTGGGACATTATCAGTTTGACAACGAGAGAGAGCACGCTTGTCAGCATTCATTGAAAGTCATGGATGTGTACAAGCGTGCTCTCTCTCGTTGTCATATGATATGCTCAAGGCTTAATTTGTAGCGGTTGGCTGTTCACTGCAGATGCTAGCAGGAAAATTGTGGTTTAGTATTTAGCTTGAACTTTTTTTTTTTTGGCAGCAATTCTATTTTCAATGAATAATTAGTGATCAATAACTGCAGTTATTTTGCTAACGGGCATTTTCTAGTTTGAATTGATTGATTTCTACTTAGTACTGTTATTTGGTGATTTATTATTTAGTTTGGAAGTGGTATATATATAATATTTGTCTAAAAGTATAAACTTCTTCTCTAGTTGAACCTAATCTTAAATGGATTTCATGATGTGAACTCATATCTGCTATATGTAGATCATACTTGTTAATTACTCCATTCCATTGTAGTTTTCCCACTTTTAAACTTTACATATACCTAGACAATCTATGGATTGTTTAGAGCTGCATAATTATATGTTAAAATAACACATTTATCCCTAATAAGAGCTTTATCATTTTTATAAATAGATTAGAATAACAGGGATAAAGTTGGAATAATAACATTTAGTGTCTCATATAAATAGAAATTAAGTGAGACACAAAACACACCAAGCCGAGGTGCTAGGTTCGCTGCCTCACCCAGGCCTTAGGTGGTAGAGCTAGGAGTTTCTTTTATTTTTTATATTTTCTGATTTATTTTGGTTTTTGTTTTTATTTATTAAAAAAATAAAAAAAATAAAGTGGGAAAGTAAATGAAGAACACTTAAAGTGCCCAACAGCTAGCACTGCCTAACACTTTACACTGCTTAGTAGAGAAAATTTGAAAAACAAAAGCAAATTCCTAATTATAGATGATAACTGCCATAATTAGCTTAAAACATGTAAAATCTATGATAGGAGGAAATAAAAGTAAGATATGCAAAGCAATGAATGATAAAGTTATTAGGGTGACCTCATAGAGTGTGTGAATGTTTGCCTGACTTCTGCCTTGTTTGTGTTTGGACCATCTGGGAAGGGAGTGTAAGGCTCAGTGATTGGGGAGGGCTTCCTACCTTGTGTAGGACATGGTATGATAATCCACCTGGAGGTGGGGTCTCTTGGTTGGTCTTTGTTCACAACTAAGCTGGGAAGATAGCTGATGTTTTGTGAGAGTTTAAGAACATACAAGCTGTTCCTTTCTTACTTCTGTAGCTGCTAGCAGTCCCTTATGGTGATCACATATATATTGATCTCTAGATGGGTGCTATCTCTTTGTACTTGAATTTCTTATTTACGGACATGTAACCATGTAGGCTATATATGCTTTAGTTTAGTTTTTGTTTCTGTGGTATTTTTGAGTCAGTCCTGTGATCCTTGGACTGTAAATAAATTGGATGGAGCTATGTATAACAAACTAAGAAAATTAGATCAGCAGCGTCTCTTTGGACTGTCTATGATGAAAGAAATTTGATGTTTGCTGTTTCCACTATATTTGTAATTCCTATGAAATGACTATAATGTGGTAGCATGTTAACAAGTTGGGGAGGCTTTCTGGCAGTTGGCAAACACTTTGGCTTGTTACCACTATGCTTAATGGCGGAAAATGGTTTTGGGGCATGGCTCCACTCTCTGGTTTATGAGTGTGAATTGAGGTTTCAAGGTTTTCTTTTCATGTTTCTCTATGAGTTTAGTCTTGTTTGCTGGAGTTAATTGATACTAGATCTTAAGCAGTAGATGCATTTATCTGGTGTGAAGTTTTTCACCTTGAAGAAGCTGAATCAAGAGAAGAAGCATTATGATGTTAGTAGTACATGTGGGTATGTAGTTATTCAATCAAAATGTGTTCTGAGGGATTTACCTCTTTCTTTTATATAATTGAATTCTAAAGTTTTCCAATAAACTTTTTCTTTTCCGTTTTTTAGTCCTCAACCTCTACCATAAATGCTAGTTATTATCCCAATTTTTTCTTTGGACAGAAATAGTCTCTAACCTTTTTAAAATCACCATTCTTAATCCTACAGTTAGTTACTTCTGTTAAGTTCCTTATGAAAATCCTAGCTAGAATTTTGGAAAGCCACCAAAACCCTTGAGCAGAAATATTTTTCAATTGCAATTTATTTGTCATCTAAACTTGAACAAAGCACAGTCATCCATTGAGAATACTGGCTGGGAAGGGTCATTGGAGTACAATTCAGGCCTGACCACAGGTTAGTCTCTATAATTATGTGAATCTGGTGAATTTTTATCCTTTTGTAATTATTTATATCAATTGCTGTTTCTCTTTCACTGCTCCCATTCTCTTTATATTTCACAATTATGTTAAAAACTCTCTGATCTGCACCGAAGCAATTGCAGTGCTGTCTTTTTGGAATCAGTTCAATAAAGTGGCAAGATTCCTACTATAAGATGAAAATAAACAATTCAGTATTTCCTAAGTGGCAGGATTGGGTACAAGACTTTATTTTGCTTCTCTGTTTTCATGATTGAGGAGAAAATTTAATAGTATAACTAGAACCTTTTTGTTTTCATCTCAAATAACTAAAAAGATTGCTCTTTTCCAGTCCACATGCACATTTTAAGGCCCCGTTGAGGGAGGGGGACCACTCCAATATCATGACGGACTGCACATCACTTTTCTGATAATTAAATAAGTTCCCTTCTTGTTTCTCTTTCAAAAAGAGGAAAAAAAAAAAAAAATCAGTTTTCTTTTGGTAACAAATTCCAAATTTTCATCAAGGTTTGCCTTCAATTTTTGCCCCTCCTCCATCTTTTTTATATCGAATGAATTGAAGTTAAATTGATAGGAATTCAGATATATAATTCTTGTCTTTTAATCTAATTTCTGCTTAAAGTTATAGACCTATCAATGTCAATAGTTGAAGCCAATCTCATCTTTGTTGTTTATCTATGTACGGGCAAGTGAATGGTTAGCTTTGCGAGGAATGTGCCTCTTTAATAGGATTATGATCTTTATAGGTTTTGTAGCCAGCTTTTTTTCATACTGCACGTAGTTTAGGAAAATATTGTGAGTTAATCAACTTTGATTTTTTTCGCGTCTATGTTTACCTTAATGTTTAGTAGTCTGGTAGTCTCACTGATTTTAGATCATTTGATGTTAAATTTTGTATATTAAGCACAGGATGAAAGCAGCATCATAAATTCTTCTTGAAGATTTATGAGGGGATCTGAATTATGGTTTAAGGAGAGCAAAGTAATACTAATGTTCTTTGTCAATGAAATTTACTGCTGCAAACTGGAAAGGAAAGGGAGGAGTAATTTTTAGTAATTAGCAATAACTTGAACCTAAAATCTGCGCCTTCCTGATGAAATCTAACATTTGAAATTATCTGCGGCTGCCAAAACAAAACTTTATTAAATGTCAAGTTTTAGACTTGGAAAAAATTGTGCTTGATTTCCAACAACTTTTTAGCTTTTTTTTTTTCCAGAAAAAAATTAGTTGGTGAATCTAGCATATTGCTGGCCATCATATATTCATGTTAACCACAATTCATGCCTTTTTGTGATTGGCCTTATTTTAATAGTAGAACCTTTAATATAAGCTGCTTTTGTTTAGTGGAGGGTGGACCCAAAATATTTTTCAAAAAGCATGTGCTTTCCTTGCTTTTGAAATGGTGGAACGAAGACTTCACAGAGTAATTGTGTTAGGCTCTGTTTATTGTGAAACCATTTTTTGGGGCATTAACTTTCATTAAATTTTATTTAGTGATTCTAACTTTTAGTCGTGTCTCTTTAAAGGATAGGAAAAGTCGGTTTAATTGTTTCTTCTTTTGTAAGCATAGGAAAGGTTGGTTTAAAATTGTTTCTTCTTTTGTAAGAAGGGAATGCACCAAGTTGATGTGAGGGTGCCCCCTTAAGATCGCATGGGAGGGATTAGTCTCGAAGTGTGCAAAAGGAGACATGGGGACATCCTGAACTGTCCAAACCAAGGCAGGGATACATGCTTGGCCAAAAGAAATCAGGCACTCTTCTTTTTTTCCATCCATGGTATTAACTTTGCTACGGGGTTCTAGTTTTGTAAAATGAAGTAGTTTCTGTTCTGATCGCATACTTCTATCTATCTACCATGTCCTTCATTTCATTCTGCAGAATTCAGATCCATAGGCATGCAGAAAGGACCCAGTGACACATATACTAGCAAATAATGTGTTCGTATATGATAAAGGAATGTTATTAGGAAGTCATAATGTGAGAAGGTAGAGTGCTCTTGAAGTCAAATTTTGATGGCTTAAACCTTCTGTTCATTTTCTCCCCCTGCTGCAAAACTTGTAATCTAACATTTATTGAATTTTTTTATGTTGCTTATGGGAAAGGGCAAAAAAGAACAAAGCTATTCTGGATCACTCAAACTAAAATGCCAGTTTATTGATTTTGTCAGCTGATGTAAAACTTCTTTATGTGTTGGATGAGAAAGATCAGAAATCCTGGAGTTATCAGCAGTGCTCCATCATGTCAGACCGGCAGGTTGCCAAAAGCAGCCTGGATCAGTCTTGAAAGATACTGAACTGCACCTTAAACCACCTTACTAGAAGTGTTGAGTGCATAATTCAGAATGTAAGGGAACTTGAATCAGAAGATCAAGAACAATTATAATATTGTTTCGTGTTATCTCCAGGTTTTACCTTAGAGAACTCGTCTGGTGAGAATTCTTTTCTTGTGCCATACTAAATAGTAATTGAACTTATGCAAGACATCCTACTAGATTATATATATAATGTATAGGGTAGTGATATATAGATAATCTTTTTATATAATTTTTTTTTATATAAAATTCACATGATGTTAAATAAATGGATATACTCAATATTACGAGTTTCAAATGAATAAAAAGAGTTAATTATTTACCAATGACCTAAATAGCTTAGTGGTCATTTTTTTTCGTTTGAAGTAAAAAGTCATTAGTTCGAGTTGCATGGCATGTGAGTGAGGTG